TGATACTTTTTTTATATTTTTTCAGTATTTTTTTTAATATTCTTTTAGTACTTTTGTTATTCTTTTATTATTTTTTTGTTGTTCTTTTGTAAATTAGATAATTTTATATGCAGTTGTAATAATATAGTCTCAGATATTACCAAATTTGGATGTTACAGATCACCCCTTTTTTTATAATTAGAAAATTCTCAAGACTTCCATTTAAGTCTATAACTAGTCTATGAGGCTAAATTTACGCCAATCACTGGTCATTTTGTTATTTGATAAACAACTGCTTTTTAAAACTATTAGGATCATAGCGGATTCTTAGAATACATAGTTATAAGACAATTTATATTAAAATTAATTCTAAGGTTTATTATTAAATGATATTTTTTTTAAAAAAATAAAAATACTATATAAATTGGTTCTAGAATAGTCTTTTACTAATAGTAAATCAATTTCTATATTTGGTAATATCCAGGACTGTAATAATAATAAAATTATTGAAAAAGATTAAATAAATATAAAATGTATAATATTTTTTTGATGAGGTAAATATTGAGGTGAATGTTGATATAAACATTAAAATTAACATTGAGATGAACATTAGATGAATGTTGAGGTCAATGTTGACATCAATGTTAAAATCAATATTAAGATCAATATTGAGGTGAACATTAAAGTTAACATTAAAGTTAATGTTAAGGTTAATGTTGAGGTTAATGTTAAGATAAACGTTGAGATGAACATTTACCTTAATGTTAACCTCAATGTTAACATCAACATTGACGTTAACATTAAAATCAACATTAAAGTCAATATTAAGATAAACATTGAGGTCAATGTTGACTTCAACATTTATCTCAATATTGATTCAATGTTCACCTCTATGTTGAGGTGAATATTAACATCAATGTTGATATCAACATTGAGATCAACATTCACCTCAATGTTCACTTCAACATTGATCTTAACATTGACCTTAATATTAACCTCAATGTTAACTTCAACATTAATCTCAACGTTCATCTCAATGTTGACTTTAATGTTGACTTCAACATTGATATCAATGTTGACCTCAATATTCACCTCAACATTGTAATATTCTATATAATAGATGGACAATATAAGAAATAAGTTTCACTAATGATTAATAATCATTAATGTTTTAATAGCAAAGTTGTGAAGTTTGCAAAGTTTGCTCACCTATTCTATAAAACATCTGATTTTTTATTTATTGTTTGTTTGCTAAACTACTATTATCATTTGTCAACCCCTGTAAATCATCCACAAAAAATTTTCTGGCATATAACTTAGCAACTTCACTAAATTCTACAAGATACAATTAATGTTGAGGCTAACGTTGATGTCAATATTTACCTCAATGTTGACTTCAATGTCATCTCAACGTTAATCTCAACAGTTTTACCATAAAATCCCAACATCCAAAATCTCAAAAACCATAATCTCGACATGCTAATTAATATTTAAAGATTAATAATTATATTAACAATCATTGTCAGACTTTAAATTTTTAATTTTCACATCATGTGATGTCAGTATTATGACTTGTTGAGATTTGGGATGTCAGGATTGACTATGCCAGAGCGTAGGATCGATTTTACTATCATATAATTTTCTGTCGTCTATCAACCAATCAAAGATCAGGATTAGGTGTAATGTGAAAAAATTCAAAACATACGTTCGCTTTGCAAAAATCGCACATATCTCAAAATTTAGTCTAGTAAACCATCTTTGGGGTCCTAACAAAAAAATTTCCTTGTGCAATTTTGCTATATTGTTGTTCTTTCTAACTTTAACCTAACCTTAACCTAAACTCTAACCCAAGTTTTTATCTTAACAACATTTGTTTTCCGCCTATCATGTAACAGTAAAATCGATCCTACGCCCTGGCATAGTTGTTAGGATTTTGTAGTAAAACTGACCTCAACATTGACCTCAACATTGTCACTCAACATTGACTTGATGTCAATATTAAGGTCCCTGTTGAGATGTTCTATAGAATAGGTGGGAAAACTCCGCAAACTTCACAACTCCGCTATTAAAAAATTAATGATTACTAATCATTAACGAAGCTTATTTCTTATATTGCCCGCCTATTATATAGAATATCCTTCAAATTTATTGATTTTTCAAAGTATGCACAAAACAAATACCGTAAAAAGTCATATAAAAGATCCAGGTCCCTTACATTCCACCAAAAAAAATTAATAATAAACAAAAAGAGAAAATAATTAGTAAAAAATAAGGGTGCATCTGATATATGAGATATTTTATGATCTTTTACAGCAATGTTAGTTCAAACCAATAAAAAAAATAATAAAAAGTATATATCTGATGTTTAGTAAGTTCAAGCTACTGAATTCAAAAACTGTACAAGACAAACAAATGTAAGTTCAAAAAACAACCGAAAATAAAAGAGAAAAAAAGAGTATAGAAGCACATATTTGATATCTGGCAAGCCCAAACAACAAAGAATAAAAAAAAGAGTACTTACCCGACTTGCCAAATAAGTTTAAAGTTTATTTCACAGTTCTATAGCCAGATATTAACCTAGATAAAAAAATTCTGGAAATATAAAAAAAATTATACATATCTTATTCTTATTTTTAGCTCAATATCTCATTGTTGCTTTCTTTTAGAAGCCTAAGAAGAAAACCAGTTATGTTAATTAAAAAAAAATTAAAAAAAAATCAAAAAATTAAAAATAAAATAAAAAATCAATGAATTATCATATAGGAGATTTGATAATACCACTGCATTTTACTTTTATTATTATTGCAATGAATAAAAAAAAAAATCAAAAATTTTAAATTGGGTCACTCGACTTATTTAAAAAAAACAATATAATTATCGACCTATTAGCTCACAGCAGCCGCAATTGTGTGATGCAGATCATTTTTATTAATAAACTAGATTTATTATAGTTAAAAAGATGAGGGTGAATTATTCAGGTTTATTGATTATTTATTTAATTTTTTTAACAAGTTCGGTACGTAATTAATTCCTCATATGTATGACTTATGTGTTTGACAAAAAATCATCCGATACGTATGATACAATGTGATCGCTTTTGTTTCATGATAAAACTAGTGATCCAACGATTAAATCAGAGATCGAAATCAAATCTAAATGATCATTATACTTTAACTTTTTTATATAGTGTGATAATGCTATTGATCTGTGATTCAAGAATCCCAATGATGTATTCTAGAATTTCCTTCGCACAAGACAAATCACCATCAAATGGGCAAGGCAACTGCATTGTCATTGTGATTTTCAGTTTTTTAGAGTCGCCGACCCAGCGAATAAACACCCATTCGCGAGCGCTCGTTACAATACCATACATCATGACAGGAGACTTGCCTTCTTCAAAGTCAGTCTGATCAAGTTTGCGCTTTTTCTCTAAAGCCTGAAAGTAAATTTTGAATTAATTAGATATCAAATAGAAATAAAAAGAGCAATTTGAAATTTCCTGCACCTCGACTGCGCTGTGCATTTGGACGAATGCTTGTGCTGTACCCTGATTGAAATCTTCTTTCTTTACCTCAATAACAATTACTAGCATGCCATCACTCTCGATAGAATAATTAACTGGACCAAACCTCCGGCTTCCTGAAGATTTATTTCCGCGTTCAGTTTTAAATTATGCTGATTTTTCTTTACAATCATAACCGCCATTGTGAGAAATGGTGAAGTGAACTCACGAACGGTGGGTTCATTGTTGATAATTTAGAAGGCTTCAAGTTTTCTTCTGATCTCATTATAAAACCCATCCAGAACTTCGATCTCTTTCTCAGGTTTTGGTAGTTCATCTGTGTGTAGAAATTAGGTAAATTATATACGAACCATAATACATAGAAACGTACTCTAATATGAAAAGATCAAAACTGCACTTTTGTCGAATTTAGGAGTAGAATTTATAGAGTCCCACATTTCTCCAAAGAGTGTTCTAGTGATTTCACTTAAATTCCATTCATTGTAGGCTTTCATTCCTGCCAAAACATGAAAATTGGACATATGAACATTCATATCATAACTGATTAGAACTTTCTCAAACGAGATAAACCACCTTCCACTCGAACAGTCATAGATACCTGACAAACTTTATTATTGTTCAGAGATATTTATTTCACCATCGCATTAAATTCATATTCATTTATAATTTCAGTTTGTGTATCATTATTGAAGAAGAAGAAGTGTGGACACGAATCCATCTTCAAAATATCAAATTTATCTATAGCACGTTAACGTGAATTAAACCACATGCCAGAACTATGAGGCATTATTGCAACCAGCCAAGGTCTACCGAGATTTATGCGAATGGAAACTTTAAAACAATAGACAAAAAAAATTAGTATGATACACCAAGACATGGCCAAGTAGAAAAAAATAAGACATTTTAATTTACCACTATTATCAGAGAATGGATATTGCAAAATGAGAGGCTTTTCAGAAGTAGTTTCCAGAACTCGCAGAAAAATACTGCTAGGAAGCTTTTGTATGCATTCAGTATCAATAAAGAACTGGAGTTTTCTCTTAGTCAGAGGTGGATGAATACCTTTGAGAACTTCAGACTGTGAGAGAAGGAAAGTTTTGAGACTATCCAAGTCAGCATGATCATTGTCCAGCTCAAACTTTTCAGAATCTTCTAAATTTTCAAAAAGGACCCACAATGTCACTGTCATATTTTACAGATATGAAAAAATATTTCATAACTTGTAAATCGATATTTTTTGCCAAATTTGGAGGTCTTCTAAAGCGGAGGCACATCATGTGATCAACAGCCAATCAAATGATAGAATTTTGATGATCGCCAGCGAAGCAAAAAACAAAAACCCGAAAAATACAAAAAACGGCAGTCTAAACCTACCTCGGGTAAGTTAATCAAAAATGTCGGGAAGGCAATTTTGCTTATAAAAACCTAATCTAATCCTAATATAGAAGACCCTAACTGTCAAGGTATTTCTCGACTTCGGGGTTTTCTCAATTGAATCTTACTGGAGAGACTCGCTTTGCTTAACAGTGAGAACTGGAGTATCGTGCCAGATACTACCACCCAAATACCACGTACAATGCGATATATAAACACAGTTTATAGTTTTAGACGCTTCTTATTACTAAAGATTATTCTATTCTAATCGTTCGCTCTCTCTAGACTACTAAAGACCATTGTTCTATTTATATTACATGATGATCGATCATGCAACGTGTAAGTTACATGAACCCGATCCTGATCCCGTGCTACTAAACACGTGTCAACCAAATCTACCATGTCATGAGCTAGACCCCCAGGACTTCGTCCCAAAGTCTTACCCTTGTAAAACAAATTACTCAACACAAAATATTAAGATACTAATTTCTGACATACATTAATTATTTTATCTACATTTAAATGTCCACATAATTTCGACCTCAATTATCACTTATTACAATCATTTTCTACCCAACATCATTCGCACGTTGATTCTTCCAAGTTTTCGTATATCAAGACGACTTCCGAACACCACATTCACCATTCCATCACATCCGATTATATGATCCAAATACAATCGTTTAAGGAATTCAATCTTTTTACTATTACATGACGTAACATGATTCCAATTTATTTTTCGATTCACAATCGTCGTAACATATACGTCTTGATCAATCGGCAATTTTTGCAACATAACTTCATAGAATCTATTCTATGCTCGTTCAATACCATCATACCATTCATAATCCGCTTCGATGGTCGTTGATCTGGGAATTCATTTCTCAATTCGACATTCTGCACCTTCTGACTATCATATCCAAGATCGTTTACTTCATCAGCAGATCTTTGATAATAATTGAACGCCTCATGCCCGTTCTTTTCAACTTCAATTCCATCTTGGTAACAACTACCATGATTATTCGTAGTGTCAGCATTACCCATATCAGCCAAATTTTGATAATTAACGAACATCTTATGTTCATCCTTTTCATCACAAGTTCTCTTTTCAACATCAACTCTATCTCGATCAAGATTACACATTTCATCAACGTGATTCATTTCATAGCAATGTCCAACAATAAATGCTTTGTCAGCATTATATGTTTCTTCCACGTGATTCATCTCAGCTGATTTACGATAACAATCGAATGCCTTATTTTCACCGCTTTTACTTCTCACGATTTTATTCATTACGTATTTATCTACAATGTTTTTATCAGGATCAGCCACGTTACTCTCATCGTTAGACGCCACGGGTTTGTACTCCATTTTCATTTCATTCACCCGATTCGATTTATCAAAATCCATACATCTAATATTCACTACATCAATATCAACGGTTTCATCAACATCATCGAACTCACGACCTTGTTCTTTTGGGTCTTCATCACACACAATTCGAGTATCAGGTGCGTATTCTCTTTTGGATTCTTTCGTATTAACGTTCTCCTTATTCATCACACTAACGATTCTATTCATTTTTCTCAAACAATTACCACCATCGTCATCATTCTTCATTGATTCACATCTATACTTGAATGCTTTGTACCACGGCGTTCCAAGAACCACATCGACAGGTAAGTCTTTCATTACATGAAATTTTTGAAGATACTTCACATCATTAACGACAACTTCAACGCCATGAATAAATCCAATGCAACCATCGTCCATATGACTATTGTTTCTCTTATTCAAATGTTTCCAGGTAAATCCCATTCTTTTTGCATACTTCACGCTTATTTTATTCACATTCGAACTAACTCTAATTGATGCTTCTGCAAATTTTCCATTAATTTTCACCATATTTCGTACCATTTCATCATTGTCCTTAAATTTTTCTTCTCTTCGTCTTATACTTCGTTCATCACACTTCTTTTCACCACCATCAACACGACGTACTTCCATCAACTTATTATTCAACCGTCATCCATGGACTTGATCTTTCATAGACGGACACAAACGAGCCAAGTGCCCTTTACGTCGACACACATAACACAAACGCGACATATGCTTTTTCCGTTTCCCTTGAGAAGTCTCCAAGCTTTTCATTACTTCTCGTACCACTGTTTCCACAATATTCTTCACCAACGTCACCAGGTAATTCTCGCTTTCCATTTCTTTTCAACTCCAATTTCGTTAAGCAACACCAATTTGCCACCAAGGCACCTGAATGAACCAATTACAACCGTACAACCTTCTTGGTTTAGCACTTAGCAAAATACAACAAACTTCAATAAGTTTTTGCGAGTAGACTTTTGTCTGCCCAGGTCCTTTATGTCAGGGTATTTCTCGACTACGGGGTTTTCTCAATAGATTCTTAATGGAGAGACTCGCTTTGCTTATCAGCGAAGACTGGAGTATCGTGCCAGATACTACCACCCAAATACCACGTACAATGCGATATGTAAACACACAGTTTATAGTTTTAGACGCTTCTTATTACTAAAGATTATTCTATTCTAATCGTTCGCTCTCTAGACTACTAAAGACCATTGTTCTATTTATCTTATGATCGATCATGCAACGCGTAAGTTACACGAACCCGATCCTGATCCCGTGCTACTAAACACGTGTCAACCAAATCTACCATGTCAATTAAGCTTAATTCTGGCCAAAATCTAAAATAAAGCCCTTGGGCGTTATTTCGGATTTATACGGTAATGATGCGTTCGTGATTTATTATGTGAGATTATAACTTAACAGTGGATGAGTTCGTGGGTTGATTTATAATTGTGCGTGGGTGGATTCATAGTTTCCATAATAGCTGAGATTTCGATTTTAGTAGTAAAAAAGTAACGATTTCGATCATGGGTAGATGGGTTGATGGGTACATGATTTCTATAACGAGTTTGTGATCTAATAGTGAGTGTGTTCATGATTTCAATAGTGTGTGAATTTATAATTCAGTGGAAAGTTTGTGATGTACGTTATAAGAGGGAAATTCATCAAAGATCGCTGCTCGGATCAAATCTGCCAAATCTGCCAAATTTGCCAAATTTGCCAAATCTGCCAAATCTAGTAGATATGACATATCGGTCAGGGGATATGTCACGCTGCAGGGGGGGGTTCTGTACTCTGATATAAAAATTTTTTTGTACCGCATGATAAATTTCATATGAATTTCAACGTTTTTCTTCCTTCAAGTGGAAATAA